AAGGTGTTTTCGTGTTGGGGGATTTTTGCCAGTGTGCACTGTTCTCCCTCCAGCTTAGGGCATCCGACCTTTGGCTGCACACTGGAATTGGTTGAGGAGTTTTACATACAGGAGCCTGGGCCCTATCCCCCGAGATTCCAATTGACTAGGTCTGGAAGAAGCCTGGGTATTAGGATTTTAAAAGTTCGTCGGCAACTGTCATGGCAGCCAGGGTTGCACCCTGCATTTCTCTCATTTTCCACCAGCATTTTCCACCTGCTGAAGTAGAAGCCAGGTCAGAATTTGCCTTAGGATCTAGGTCATCTGTGATTCTTAATTTTAGCCTGAGACTTTTAGATTTATAGATGCAGAAGATGAGGCCCGGAAAGGGACAGGTTTCTTCCAGGGTAGTCTTTGCAGTTTGGCCAAAGAGAGAACCCTGACAGGTAATGTCATAGGCATTGGAACTACAATGTTAGACTGATCTCCATGTACTACACCATTCATATTTGGTTTATATTCATCTTTAGGTTGAGAGGCACTACTACATTATTTTAGCTTTACAAGATAAATATCCTAGCTGTCAAAACCTTTTTTTTTTTTCGCTCTAGTCCACACGTGCCTAAGATATATGTGAGCAGAGTTGCAAACCCTTCCTTGTGTGTTGAAGAAACTGAGGAAGATGATGACTAAATCCCCATCTATGGCCTCAATAACTAGTTACTACTAGCTTTGGCCTTGTGAGAAAAGAGCTGATAAAAAAACCCAGCAAGAAATTTCAAATTACTTTCAAATTAGTTTGAGGTTATAGCTGAAAAACATTTTTGTTCTAATGGAATTATCATTTGGTCAAGGATTTTAATTTAAAAAGAAAAGCATGATTCTTCCCCTGGAGTAAACTAAGCTACTTTTTTTCCCCCCAGGTTTATTTATTTTGAGAGAGAGAGAAAGAGAGAGAGAGAGAACGCAAACAGGGGAGGAGCACAGAGAGAGGGAGGGAGAGAATCCCAAGCAAGCTCTAAGCCATCAGCACAGAGCTCAATTCGGAGCTCCAACTCACAAACTGTGAGATCATGACCTGAGCCAAAATCAAGAGTTGGATGATCAACCAACTGGGCCACCCAGGTGCCCTGTAACTAAGCTACTTTTGCCAAAAAGAGCCTTAAATGTGGTGTCCAAGCAGAGAAGTCAGTGCAAGGAGGGAAGAAGAGAGCAGGGGCCGGGCTGCTGAATGTTCCCACGATGTTGTATGTGCCTATCAGTGTTATTGTAGTGGTATCTCATGTTCAGTGCCCATAGGATTGAGTACTGTGTCACATTTGATTGGAACAGGAAGCGCACTCTGGTTTGTGTGTGACGGAGATAAGGTGGAAAGGCGGTGCTTGGTAGAGGGCCGGAACCCATGACCCGGACCCACACTGCCACATGGGGCTCCAGAAACCTTGAGCGGAGCGCTCTGTCCTGGGCTGGGACGTGCTCGTGCTGACAAAATGGTCTAGCAAAATGGCCAACCCCTCTCTGCATCTTTTAGGTATTCTCCTCTCCCCGTTTTGGTATTTCCTTTGCTGGCCTCCCCACCTCCCTCCTTTCTGTCCCCCACCTTGACCAGCCCAAACTTTGGGACTCATCCAGTTCTGCAGAGGGCTTGATTTTTGTCAGTGTTGCTGCTGCTGCTGCCCTTGGAACCGGGTTGTGTAAAAGCGTCATGACTTTACTCAGTGTCTCTTGAAGATTGTTATTCTGACCTCATGGGTCATTTTGGTGGGTGGCTGGCCTTGCGATAATTCTGAATGGTAACTCTGGAATTTTATGAATCAAAAAGGCAGCTCCGAGTCGAATGTGGGAAAATGCCTCGTGGGCTCTCATGAGTCACACAGGAAGGAGGGAGAGGAGGATTTCGGTGGCACTAATACGCACATTGCTTTTTCCCCAGGACCCTCTCCTGTTTGTTACCGCTCCGGTAGTCCCACCCCGATTCTAGAAGACCCCAACTACTTTTTCCCAGATTTCCAGCTCTATTCTGGGAGGCGCGAGGCATCTGCTTTGACGGTGGAGGCAAAAGGTGGCATCAGGGAAAAAGTTGGTAAGTTCTTTTACCGGCATTTGGTTTGGAAAAGCAAGATGATCATATGTTTCTGATTTTTAGCCTTTTTTTTGCATAATTTTTTCTGTAGCCTCGCTTTAAGAATCAGCCAGTTGTATTATTGATTGTCTCTTTATTAGTAGGTGCCTTATTTTTAATGGTTTTGCTATGGCGTCAATAGACTATTTTACGATATCATGTGACTCTCAGCAGAGTTCTTATTGCAAGACTTGAGAGTTACACCATTTATTCCCTAATTTTTCTCTGATTCCTAAATACTTTTTTTGTACCCTTTCCCAGAATCTTTTTTCCTTCTCTGCTTTCACTTTGATCTCTTTTTTGCAAATAATTCAGAAGCTCAGAAGAAATCCAAAACCATAGTAGGGAGGAAGCTGTTTCCTCTATGAAAACTTCCTGCCTATTTTTGAGGGCTTTTGAGATTGGTAAAACTGGAAGGGAATCTTTAAAATCACTGTAGGGAAGGATCTCACGGTTCTTGGCAAATGTGCTTATGAAAAGGGAATTCAGCAGTTTTCGTGCTTGATGAGACCCCATTCCTTTTATTATTCATCCCAAAAAATCATTTTCTTTTGGAAATATATTTTTATTTAAATTTATATTCAAGTTATTCACAGCATTCATTTTTCTTTGAATTTGCTTTCAAATTTCAGAGCAGTTATTCTGAGGGTAAGGACTGTGCTCTCTTTACCTTCTGCCTCGGCACCTGTCAGAATGGATGTAACAGATTGGCACTCAGGATTTGCACAGTGAACGTGTGGCCCATTTCAGCCCGCATGGATCTCTTCATCGCTTATTACAGTTATTTGGCAATTCATCTTATGTGGACTTCGAATAATCTGTTTTTAGTGTTTAAAATTTTTTATTGTTGAGCTTTGGGTTTATATGTCAGTTATAATATACATTCTCTGAAGGTAGAGAATAAGTTCGCTTTTACTGCACATGTGGTCTTGCGAAGCAGATATGAAGCCTGCCCATTTTACAGAGGAGAGAGGTTCAGAGAAGCCAGAAAACTGGCGTGAGATCTCATAGGTGTGATTTGGGATTGTGGAGGCGAGGCAGAGTGATATGATCAGAGCTGAGCTTTAGGAACCAGCCTGCACAGTTTTTGAATTTGCTGGGCAGGTATTTTCTGAATGCCTTCTGTGTGTCAGGGTTGTATTATAGGCACTGGGGATACAGCAGGTGAATATTAACAGATAAAGTTTCGCTGTCCGGTTCTTGAATTCTAGTAGAAGAAGATAGATAAGAAATGCAGTGTGGATAAGAAATGCAGCGTGGATCGAAGAAAGAGATCAGAGGCAAGTGATATTAGGAGGCTATTCAGGACATCTAAGCAAGTGGTAAGGAGAGCCCAAACCCAGGACGTGGCTGAGGGCATAGAAGTTAGGGTTGCGGTCTTTTGCTGTCTCAGAGACACTAAAAATGTCATCTAGTGCCACCTTTTCTCATATTTTAATGCCAAAAAGAGTAAAAGTGATGTAACCCTTGACAGCCCATGCCAAAAAAAGGCACAAAGCCAATGACATATATCTGTATATATGCACATGTGTACGTGCAAGTATACGTATATCTATATATTTTGTAAGCATACCCCACCACCGTTATTTTTTCTCATTTCACTGTGGACTGAGAAAAACCAGCTTGGCAGTTGATCAAATGTGGGGAGAAAAGGAGACAAAGGGCCAAAAGTTCATCTGAAATTTCTATCTGGATGACTCATAGATGATAAGGATGTCACTTAGAGAAAAAAAAAGAAATCCACAAAACAAAGAGGCAACCGTGGGGAAGAAAGATGTTTTGAGGGGAGATGATGTGTTCTCCGTACATGTAGAAACGCAGAGCCATCATTGCATGGAATCGTAGAACTGAGGCTGTTTGGAGATGGTCGAGTTCTGTTCTGTCAATTTGCAGAGGAGATTGAGCTCAGAGACAGTAAACGATTTGCTCAAGGTCATGCCAAGGTCATGCCGGTAGTAAGAGCTAGAACTTTTACTGTCCTCATGCTGTATAATTTCCTCAGTACACTACTTATTAGTATTGTTGTGAGATGGATACATTGTATATTTCTTGGCATTCATTAGGTATTCTTTGCTGCTTAAATGTTTGCTCCCCCATTACGTGCTTCCCTGGGTTGCGCACTAGGGAGAGCCAGATGAGGTGGCATGATCCTTGCCTTGAAGAAGCTGAGAGTCTTGTGTAAATAAACCATTTCCATCTACCATGATAATTGCTGTAATGGTGATATTGACAAATGGAGTGGGACTTAGGAGAAGGAGGGCTTCAAGCCTGCTGGGCTGCAGAAGGACACGATTAACTCAGAGGCAGCTGTGAAGCAATCACGTACAGCACATCTAGGAATGTCCCAAGGAGACATGGTGAGGTGCACCTTTCTAGGGAGAGGGAGCCAAGGCCTAGAGGCAGGAGGGAACTGACATGTCTGGGAAGTACGTGGTCTTAAGTGCTGGTGGCCTGCACTGTTGCTGGATAAGTAAGGCCATACCTGCTACATCCTAGGGTAGAATGTCAGTTTCATCTGGTAACTAACCCCTGAGGAATCTTGTGCAGGGGAGTGATATTATTAGGTTTTCGTATTCGAACAGTCTCTCAGGGTAATGTGGAAGATAGGTTGAGGTCTAAGGGGTGGGTTTGGAGGTGGGAATGAGAGGCGTGTCAGAGAACTAGATAAGGAGGCTGCTGGAATTGTCTGGGTATGAGACACCAAGGGCTTTGCAGTGTTGTGGAATGAACACAGATTTTGTTGTAGAATGAGTCAGGTCCTGGTTCTGGCCTTCGCTGCTCCTGTGACATCCGTCATTGCCTTCTCTGAACCTCCCTCCTCATCTGTAAGATAGGGGAAATGGATATCTGTGTCGTATGATTTTATGTGCCTCATACGATTTTATGTGGAATAAACAAAATAACGTATGGAGAGAATTTAGCACAAAACTTGACACATCATATACACTTTTCAAATGGTTCTTGGGGTTATATTGTGGTTATTAATAATAAACTTGGAGATTGGGATGGGAATGAAGAAGGTTGGGAGAGATGTTCAGGAGGTGGAATTGACAGGCTGACCCTGGATGTTGGAGGTAGGGGAAAAGGAAGGAATTTTGGAAAACTCCCAGGTTTCTGGCTTGGCAAGGAGTAGATGAGGCAGGGATATGGGGTTTGGTGAGGGTGAGGTTGGGGGTGCGGAAGGCATGCTGAGTTTGAAGAACTAATGGACCGTCTGCTGGTCATTGTAGGTGTGGGTCCTGAGTCAGTGGTTGAAGACCAGTGGCAGGTGTGATGATGGAGGGAGTTCTGTTGAGTGAGGGTGGAGGGCATTCAGGGCAGAGTTGTGGGAAACACCAGAATTTAAGGAGCAGGTGGAGAAAAGGGAGTCAGAGAAGTGCACGGAGAGGCAGGGGCTGGAACCAGGGCGGGTGTTGGGAGTGGGAGACCTGGATGCTGAATTAGGAGAGCATTTCCAGAAGCAGATGATCAACGTGCAGAATGCTTCAGAGAGGTGAGGTGCATACTACAGGAGGTGGAAAATCCTCATTGGGCTCGGCTGCTAATCAGAGCAGTAGGGAGGGTGTTGAATGGAGCATCTGGAAAGTGGAGACCAGCGAGTGCAGATCGCCTACTGAGGGCAATCAGAAGAGAAGGGGAGGAGAGATACACGGGCGGCAGTTGGGGGACATGGGTAGGGCCAAGAAAAGGGGATTGCTTTTTGCTTGATCTTGGTTTTTGGCTTGCATTTATTTTTATTTTTATTTTTTTTAATTTTTTTTTCAACGTTTATTTATTTTTGGGACAGAGAGAAACAGAGCATGAACGGGGAAGGAGCAGAGAGAGAGGGAGACACAGAATCGGAAACAGGCTCCAGGCTCCGAGCCATCAGCCCAGAGCCTGACGCGGGGCTCAAACTCACGGACCGTGAAATCGTGACCTGGCTGAAGTCGGACGCTCAACCGACTGCGCCACCCAGGCGCCCCGGCTTGCATTTATTTTTTAAGATGGGGAAGATTTGGCATGTTTGTGTGCAGATGGGAAGGGGCCGGTGGGGAGTTTAGAGGAAGGGGAGAGGGGAAGGACAGAGCAAGGTCCAGCAGGAAGCGGGAGGCCTGGCAGTGGAGAGTGGTAGAGACGCTTTGAATTGGAGAAACACTTCCTGAGAAACTGCGGGGTAAATCGAGGTGGCAGGGTATTTGAAATCTTGTCTTTAAGTGCTACTGTGGCTCGAATGTTCATTATTCACCATGCATCAGCAGGCCGGTATTCCTGTGGAATATCCTGATACCTTTTCTCCCGCGTTTATCTTTCAGTTGAGGATCCTCTGTGCAGCTTCCACTCCCCAAACTTCCTGAGGATCTCAGAGGTGGAAATGAGAGGTTCCGAGGATGCGGCAGCTGGAACAGTGTTGCAGCGGCTGATCCAGGAACAACTGCGGTATGGTACCCCGACCGAGAACATGAACTTGCTGGCCATTCAGCACCAGGCCACAGGGAGTGCAGGACCAGCCCACCCTCCAAACAACTTTTCTTCCACGGAAAACCTCACCCAAGAAGACCCACAAATGGTCTACCAGTCGGCACGCCAGGAACCGCAGGGTCAAGAACACCAGGTGGACAACACGGTGATGGAGAAGCAGGTGCGGCCCACACAGCCTCAGCAGAACAATGAGGAGCTGCCCACTTACGAGGAGGCCAAGGCCCAGTCCCAGTTCTTCAGAGGGCAGCAGCAGCAGCAGCAGCAGCAGCAGCAGCAGCAGCAGGGGGCTATCGGCCATGGCTACTACATGGCTGGGGGCACCAGTCAGAAGGCCCGGACTGAGGGGAGGCCCACGGTGAACCGCGCCAACAGCGGGCAGGCACATAAGGACGAGGCGCTCAAAGAGCTTAAGCAGGGCCACGTCCGCTCACTCAGTGAGAGAATCATGCAGCTGTCCCTGGAGAGGACCGGAGCTAAGCAGCACCTCCCTGGCTCAGGGAGCGGAAAGGGGTTCAAGGCGGGAGGGGGCCCCTCCCCCGCCCAGCCCGCAGGCAAAGCGCTGGACCCCCGGGGTCCTCCGCCTGAGTACCCCTACAAGACCAAGCAGCTGATGTCCCCGGTCAGCAAGACCCAGGAGCATGGACTTTTCTACAGTGACCAGCACCCGGGGATGCTCCACGAGATGGTCAAGCCATACCCTGCTCCTCAGCCTGCGAGAACAGAGGTGGCCGTGCTGAGGTACCAGCCGCCCCCGGAGTACGGGGTCACGAGGTGATTATCAAGCCCAGAGGTTTTAGTCTGGCGCGTCAGAATTCAACCCATTATGTTCTTAGTGCTTGTTATTTTCAAGGCATGTTAGGTTTTAGCCATCAGTTTTTTTTTTTTTTTTTTTTTTTTT